ACACATACTGCTCAGCCATGAAAAAGTGAAATCTTGCCATTTGCAACGATGTGGATGGAATTAGAGGGTATTATGTTAAGGGAAGTAAGTCAATCAGAGAAAGATAATTATTGTATAATCTCACTGATACGTGGAATTTAAGAAACAAAACAGAGGATCATAGGAGAAGAGAGGAAAAAAATAAAAGAAGAGGAAATCAAAGAGGGAGATGAACCATAAGAGACTCTTAATCATAGGAAACAAACTGAGGGTTGCTGGAGGGGCACGGAGTGGAGAGATGAGGTAACTGGGTGATGGGCAGTAAGGAGGGCACATGATGTAATAAGCACTGGGTATTATATAATATGGTTGAATCACTGACCTCTACCTTAATGATATAAAATAAAATCTTAAAAAGATCTTATTTATTTATTTGAGAGAGAGAGAGAGAAGCTGACTACCCGCTGACCAGGGAGCCCGATGTGGGACTTGATCCCAGGACCCTGGGATCATGACCTGAGCCAAAGGCAGGTGCGTAATCAACTGAGCCACCCAGATGTACCAAAAATATATATTCTTACCTAGCATTCAACAAATGCCAAAAAGAAAAATTAACCCTAGTATGATCAATTTTTATCAGTTAGTTGGAAAGATTAAAATAACACAACACCCAGAGTTGAAGGGTTGTTGGGAAAATGGGTATTCCCAAGAACAGTTATCCCCACCAGACAGGACATAAGGTGGTACATGCCACCGTTGGCCCATGAATCAAAGGTTAAATTGTGTACTCATTAATAGATCAATTCACTTTTAGGGAAATTATTCTAAGGAGACGGTCAAAGAAGTATGCAAAGAATATTGTGTAAAAAGATGTTTACTGAGGAATTATTTTTCATCTAGTCCCCAGATTGTGATCTTTAAATCTTGTTTTCCACTACAAAGATGCAGGAGTTATTGGAGAAATGGTTGTTTTAAGGTCTGGGGTAGGGAGTGTGTGAATGAGCATGGAGCACCTAGTCATCCCACTAAGCCAGGAAGGCAGCTGGGAGGAAGACCTTGAAGCAGCTGGCCTGTGATTCATTCACTCTCTTTAATGGAGGAGAAAATATCCTTGGGGGATAGAAAACAAGGCAGGTGATTGGGTCTTATCCCCTCGTCAACTGAACCTTCAAGTAAACAGACTAAGATAAATTGCCAGGAGGATGAGATAGTATCTGTGTCCTCAGTGAAAACTGCTTATACTAATAATACCCAGAAGCCAGGAGACATGATTTCCTACAGAATGTCCCAGAAAAGTGTTATAACTCTTTGAAGTACAAAATGGAATATTTCATAATTTAAATGTAGTCCCTGGATGAGGAATCCCGTGAATCCTACTTGGAGACTCCATCTATTCCAAATAATTATTGATGTGGGAAAGACAGACCTGGAGGACAAGGCTTGAGGTCTCAGATGTCTCTCCGCTTCATCTGAGGCTCCTGATTGCCTTAAAGTTATTAGGAAAGTTTGCTGCTGATTCCCACATCTGATTTGACAACCCAGTTCTTCGTGTTAGCTCTGTAACAACTATTGGGATATTATCAGAAAGACTCCAAAGTCAATTTGAAGAGGCTCCCAATGGGCAAAATGGAACAGCTTGAAAAATTAATAAGAGTGATAACTGCAGTGGATTAAAAAAAATAAACCCATGAATTACTAATGATACTAATAACAAAACCAAACAAACAAAAACTTCTCTGGTTACTTCTATAGCACATTATCCTTCCTTTGCTATACCTCAGGGTAATCAGATAGTGGATGAGGGAACGTTTCTCATTATAGAAGTGTTCCAATGAATAAACAAAGAGGGAATGCTAAAATAGCACCATTTTGTGATACCTAATAGAGTAAGACCATCACCATCGGCGGCTGCCAACACAGCAACAAGAAAGAGACAACCAGAAGCATGTAACACCACCTATGAAGTATTCTTGCAAAAAAATAATAAAAATAAAAAATCCAAAATAACAACATTGTATCAAGCCTCTAAATCTAACTGCCAATTTACAAAAAATATATAGGGACAAAGAAACACGTTAAATTACCCCAAAGGCTCAGTCTACAAATTGCAATGCAAAAAAAAAAAAAAAAAAAAAAAAATTCAGGGAGAACCTATAGATCAAGAGAACTTTAGGAGACCTCTCAACCCATTGCAATGTATGGCCTTTACGTGGATCTGAATTCAAACAACATATGACAAAAAAAACAAAACTCATAAAATAAATAGACCCTTGGTGAAGTGTGAATGCTGACTTGATATCTTACGTCAAGGAATTACTGTTAATTTTTAGATGGGATCATGTATGATATTGTGGTTATGTGTTTTAGTTAATATACGTAATTATTTATAGATGAAATGATATGATGTCTGAGATTTACTTTAAAATAATCCTGTATAAAACAGGGTGGTGCTGGTAAAACAAAACTGGTCTTTTTGATAGTTGTTTAAGTAAAATGATGGGTAAATCATGTTCATAATATATTTTCTTTACGTTTATACGATACAACTTAAATTTAAAAGCACAACACTGGATGTTGTGCACAAAAATGACCGTAGGGGGTTAGGGTAGAAACACATGACCGCTTAGGACACTATTGCAGAAATCACACACTAGATGCCGCTATTACTGGGGGCTGGTGAAGAGGGGTCGGATTCTGCATATACTCTGAAAGTAGAGCCACATGATTTTCTAATGGATATTATGTGACATGAGAAAATATTCTCATTATCTGTAGCTGGAGTTTAAAAAGTCATCATACCTTTCTTTTGTAGTTTTAAATTTTTGTTTAAAATTTTTAAAATGAGCTTACTTATTAACCAGGAAAAGTTGATTTTTTTTGTTGGTTCTCAAGACAATAAGAACAATTATTGAAAAAACAATAGTTTGAAGGCATTGTTATCTTTCAAAGAATGGGATCATATATTTTGGGGCTATGATTTAGAGAATAAAGGCCCATAATCTCATCTAAAACCTTTGATGCCAGATGTTTCACAATTCAGAAAATTTCAGGTTTTAGAAATGTAATATACAGCATGTGGAGTCTATTATGTAATTCTCAAACAGGGTCTGGGGAAATTCTCTTTAACCAAATGCATTAACATTTCTGCAGTAAGACATACGAATATTCATACTAAGCAAAATAAAGATCACAAATGGTCTTACATCAGATCAGGTCAGGCTTATTACCAATGGAGTTTGGAGCTGAACTTAGGAAAACATCTTTTGGTTTTCAGAATCTTATAGATTTTGGCATTGTACATAGGAATTTCAATTCAGGTTGGCATACATTTACTTAGTACCTACTATGTGCCCCTGATCTTGAGGGCCTTCTACACCATGCAATGAAGCAGTAAATCAGCAACTTTAGTAGAAGGTAAGGACATTCAGGCAGTGGGAACAAGAGAAAGACATAAGGTTGTTATGAGTGGGCTGTGTTCAGGGAACAAAGTAGTCCAATTTAATTTGTTCTGTTTGAAAGAATGTAAGATTATATATTCTAATAAAGTAGGCAGCTGATGTTTGAAAGGTTGTATTTTGTCATGCTTCTTTAATCATCAGCATGGTACTTTTTATGAATATTGTGTGTGTGTGTGTGTGTGTGTGACGGGGGAAGGGGAGGGGGAGGTAGGGGGTAATATTTCAAGGGTTAGGACCATTGGTGAGGCCTCAGAGAGTTTAACATTCTGGGTACTAAGTAGCCGGAGAGGCTCTCTGCATCATTAATGCAGTCCAAGATGACTAAGAACATTCTGTGGGCTGGGCCCATTCAGCAGGAAGCATAATAAGACTGTGAGACTGTTCAGCAGCCTCCCCTCGTCCATGCAAGGTACCAGGCTATACCATGGAAGCAACCAGCTTTGGGGACCCTTGACTCAGACCCTCCAAGAACGGGACTACATTGAGGCAGTCTACTGAACTGAGTTCCGTTTCTTTAGGAAGCCACGGGAATTTTTCAGCACTGTAAAAGGAAAATGCCACTAAATCCTCAGCTTCACTGAACATAAGATGAGCGGTTTCCAAGTTTGGAAGGCCATTTGGGCAGGAGCTGCTCTTACGTATTCTGTGACAGAGGAGGCTTGTTACCTCAGTAAGAAAGGGGTTCAGTGATATTTTCACAACTCTCGTGGTTTTGATCAGCTACAGGATACGGCAGTCTCAGGGCTGGTTTCAGTCAAGATGGATGTAGCAAGGGAGGGAGGACGGTGCTTGGTTGCTGCCATCACGGTGCTGCCAGCCAGAGGAGCGACACAGGCAGCAGGCTACGTCTCACCCCGATACAACTGCCATCAGCACCCAAACTGGGGCCTTTTGAACAAGCTGAAGGGTTCTTGAGTGCTGTGGTTTCCAGGTTCTAGAAGAACACCCTTTGGTTTCCAGCTGGTGTTCATCCAGGATGGCTCAGTGAGACTCACACAGCTGCCTTCCCCCCACTGCCATCAGGAGCAGCCCAGAGCTACCGCATGTCAGACAGCAAGCTGTGGCCCTGCACCAGCCTGTCAGGAAACTGAGCTCAAAGAGATGCATGGGACTGGCTTTCAAGGTGGGACAATCTGGGTTCCAGTCTATCTTTTCTCAACGTCTTGATGCTTTTAGCTTCTGGTGAAAACTTGTAAGAAGAGTGGGTGGGATATATACTTTATAGTTTCGGTAGGATGATTAATGATTAAATAAGGCAAGGTAGAGAACCTCTTCCCAGTGGCCTACAGTAATTTGAATTCCAGCTCCTTGACTCAAGGGCCTGCCATGTTTCCATACTGTGGTCATAGTTCTCTTTGAGGAATGCCTCTTGCTGGCTGGACTAGGATAAGTCACGTTCCCCTTCAAGCCTTGGTCACAGGGGTCAATACCATAAGCATTCACTACCTTACTCTGTGTGCCTCTGGGGACTCAGAGTCAACAGCAGAAGCAATTAATATATGGCCTGACTCCTGCTGAGCAAGTGTGATGGGAAAGTACTTGAGAATGAGCTTTGAGGCTTACCACTTCACGCTTTTCCACTTCAAACCAGCGGGAAATTCCAGGTAAACTCTGCACCAAGTATAATGATGTTCTCTCCACCCAGAGACTCTACGGAATACAAAACAAATTAAGTCCCCAAGTGTCCTTTCTTTCTAGTTATTGAGCTATGACTAACGTCAGCCATTCAATTTGGTCAGGTTTGCTTATTTCTGTAGGCTTTTCTTTAGTATCCCTTCTAGTCTGTGGGCAATCCCTTCATACTCGTGAAGCTGTCACAGTAAGATATCAATGACGCTGTGTTAATCATTCCCTTTCTGTGCTGCCAGACAATTTTTCCTTCACGGACTACATGGTCGACTTCAGACAGCAAGCTTAAAATAGAGTAATAGGCTACCATGTTACTTCCTTTGCTGGTTCTTTCAAATTCCAATTTAAACCCCCCTCACTCCTTAAGGTCTTGCCATTTTTATCTGGAAGGGGTAATATCGACAGCCAGTCAACACAGTCACGGAGGAAAGGACCATGAAGAATCACATAGATCCATCTTTCTATTTTAAAGAGGAAGAGGCTAAACATCAAGGAGGCCATGTGACCCCCCAGGGGGTACATTCTAGTTCCCAGACCCTACCTACTAGAACTTCCGACCTCACTGTGCCACATTTTCTCATGCCCATTTCAACTGCCATCATCCAGGAGGATCTGTATTTAAAGAGCTGAGGCTTCCTCTGGCCAGGAGAGCATCCCCATGACACATGAAGCCACAGCTGCCTTGGTCCTTGGTAAGAGTCACTGTGGATGGCAGATTTCTCTTCTGTCAATCCCATTTCTGTGTCTATGCCTCCTTTTTCTCAAGAGGATAATAAACTTCACAAAATCCCTGAAATAGTGCCACTTATTCCAGAACAACAGAAAATGGGGGGATTTCTTCGTGTCAGCCACAATATACTGCAAGGAATATGGCAGAGTCCCTGTGACAGCAGTGACAGTGGTGACAGGAAGGTGAGTGGCCAGGGAAGGGCTCAGGGCAAAGAGAAAGGAATGCTTGCAGTGCTGGGGGAGAGCAGAAGGAAGCAGGCAGGCACAGCAGCTGGTGGGAGGAGGACAGCACTTCTCAGAGGAGGTGACACGTGAGCGGAATGTTGAAGAGTGTGTAGGAGTTTGCCAGGCGGAGGGAGCGGGGAGCACGGCAGGCAGCAGGAAGCAGCCCGCGCAGAGGCCTGCAAGAGGCTGGAGAAAGGGAAAGGGCACAGCACGAGATGGAGAAGTAAGTTCAGGGTTGCTGGAGCCCAGAGGGAGGGTGTAATAAGAGCGGGCTGTGGCACAGATGAGGCTTCTGGAAGGGCACTTTGGTGCCAGATGCTGAGGGCTGGAAGTCCAGGATCAAGGAGCCAGATTTATCATTATTTTCTAGGGGGACTGCTATACCACTGATAAAGTGATGGCCATGAGGAAATGTGCTGCAGTAGAAAGTACAAAGGAGAAGGTTCTAGAAGGTGTGGGTCGTAGTGGAGGGTCTGCGGGTAGTTAGAATGTGCCTGACTCCAGTGCATCTCACACTTACTATTCAGTGAACACAATTGCAATGAAAATGCTACCATAAACTAATGACCGTTAACTGGTTTTATGGGACACAAAGAAAAATGTAAATCTCCAAAAGGACTAGAAAGTGATCATGAATCTTTTCAATGACATCCCGGTACGGTCTTCCAATAGTTTCTTTGTCTTGATAGGTAACCCATCAGACCTCCTTGCACAGAGGACTGCTCTGTGTTGAGGCCCATCGTGACGCTGCAGAATGACCCCAGCTTCCCCTTCTGATTGCCGGGCTGTGCCCCATTCCTGGAGCTACTGCTGGGAACTGACATGCAGGCAGAGGCAACGAGGACAGTTAACATCAGAGGATCTCTGCTAATACTGTGAGGAGGACCTTTTCCAGCTTAAGTAGAGACTCTGTGATGAAGGGAGCTAAGCCAGTTAACCCACAGGAATAGGTCTGTTTTGCATTCTTTGTAGGGGGGAATACTAACTAACCAGGGATCTACCTGGTCTCACTTGGTCACTGTTATCAAGGAAGAGATAATGTACCCTCGGCACAATGCCCCAGTAGGGCTGTGAGCCAGCCCAAGAGAGCTCCAGAGGGCAAGGCTTATCACAGCTACTGAGAATGGACAACTCTGTACATGCAGGGAGTCTGTGGTTTGCTTTCATTCCATGTCTTCTCAGAAGTCCTAATGACACACCATTCTAACCAGAAAAAGCAGGAGATCGCACAGAAATCTTCCAAGGTAACAGCCGTCTACCTTACTGCTTCCTGTCTCAGAATCTTCGTCCCCCTTCTGTCAAGCATTTTTTACTCACTGCAGACTACTGTATCTGAGAACAAATATCCTGTGAGCCCCACAGTTGTTCAACATGAATGAGTGACAGGACTAAGCTCAACTGTGACATCTCAGAGATTGGTCTGAGGGCCACCAGCACTGTCACAAAGAAGCTGATTCCCAGGCCTTCCTCTCAGACCTACTGAGTCAGGATTCCTGAGCTAAGAACTCTGCTTGGTTAGAAAAGCATCCCACGGCCCTCTGATATACCGTTGAGTTTGAGATCAACGAGACTCAATGATTTCTGGTCCCTTCTGGTTCTATCACTTAACTCTATTCTGTGTAAATACTTATCGTGGGGCTTGTTCCAAAGAGCTCATAGGAAACTGTATGTAATAACGCACGGTACCTTGAATTCATTTTCTTTATCTTTAGTGCCTTTGTGAAATGGTCTGTCATAGCGGAATTTCCAGATGTGATTCACTTTATAGAAACTTTTGATGTTGTCTGGGACACCCTCTCTCTGCAGGACCTCCTGGCTCTCCGGGATGGGAGTCACGGCATAGATCTGCAAATCTAGGATTAAAAAGTCAAGGAGGAAACCCGACTTGGCAAACGCCAAGGAAATCTGGCTTGAGCTGAGCTGTGGCAGAGAACCGAGGCTGGGTAACAATCTGGTGTTTCCCCTGGGTCAAAGTCATTTTAAAAACTGCCAAGAAGGTGCCAAGAACTCAGTTCGCAACAAATCATTTCTCAAACTATAGGTCTTGAACTAGTTTTAGGTAGGTGATTCTGACAAAGTATCTGGCTAAAATGTCCATACGTTGTGAATTTATTTATTGCTAATTTTTCTTCTTCTTTCTTTTCTTAGTTGGGGGTTGGGTGGGAATGGCTTGGATCTTAGGTACTCAAAATTATTCTAAACCTTAAGAGACAATTTTATCTTTAGTCCATGCATGGCCCCTCTTAATTTAATGTTTGTAAAATAATGTATAAATATCCATGCAACCATGACCAAAGACATGGCCAGTTCTGACAATGATTTCTATTTACCTGTGTGAAGCTCTGTGTCTCCAGCCTTCCCACACTTGTGGTATCACTCTCCCAAAGCTTGTACTGATAAGCAAAGCATTTTTGTAGTTGATATTTTAAAAAGTACATTAAAGGGGTATCACAAGAATCACTGAACACTACATCTAAAACTAACTGATGTACTGTGTGTTGGCTAATTGAATTTAAATTTAAATTTTAAAAAGGGGGTATCCTATTTACTTGTATATTTACCTTCTTCTCTTCTCATTCAAAGAAGGAGAACAAAATCTTTTCCCTTAATTTCTTGCTTCTGCTGCATTTTATTTTCTACTTTGAAATGGTATCCATGATTATCAATGGGCTTTTCTTGTCTTCTCCCAGATCTTAAGTTTAGGGAAGAGATAGAAGCATTCACAAAGGAGTGCTGGGGTGAATTCCCTTTGTCTCCAGTGCCTGGGTAATTTCAGTTGAGTTGTTTGTATTTAGATAATGGAAGTGTCAATTATATAGCAGTCATCAAAGGCTGTCCAAAATGCCATGGCCAAGAATTCCCCAAAGATATTAAGGTACCTTCTTCTCTGTACTTCCTTCCAGAATAAAAATATCAAGGGAAAAGGGGGTGAATGATATGTGCCAGTTAATCTTTCCACAGGATATGTTGGAGGAAAATTATTCTAAGGGAAATCACTAAAAGAAGCTTTAAAAGCAGGGCGGAGATAAGGAAAAGTTTTAATTAAAAGGAAAAAAAATTCTTTACCAGAATCCTCAAGGGATTTCCTTTCCACTGACACTGTGACAATAACTAGAACAATTCTGTTCAGAAGGAGCTAAGTTAAAATCAAGATGAGTGAGAAAGAGGGAGAGAGTGGGAACACAGCAAAGGGGCCAGAGGCTTTCCTTGCAGGAAATTGCTCTGCGGCTAACGGCCCGTGGCTCTAACCGCAGTGCAGCCCGTCTAGGTGTGGATACACTGAGCTTCCGCTTGGAAGATGGTCTCGTCGGGCTGGTTGGCGTGCTGCATGGCGATGGCGTGGGGGAACTCATTCAGCATTCTCTGTTGGAAGGCCTCCAGCCTTTCGTAGTCATGCCCTCGACACACAAACTCTTTATTCTGGAGGCGAAATAAACAAAGAAATGAGAGCGACATAATGGAGTGCGTTAATTACAGAGAGAAGCCAAGAAAGAAGACCCCGGCAGGAAGTGAGCACACGCCTCACATCTATGCACAGTAATAGGAAAAAAAAAATGCAAAACAATCTGAAAAATTTGCCCAGATATGAAAAATGAGGGGCAAGGATCAGGAACTTTGCTCTCTACTGCTTTTGGTCAGAGCCGCCAGAACGTGCCGTTCCTTCCAGTTCGTGTGCTAAGGTGTAAAGAGGCATCAGATTCTCAGAGCACCAAACCATGAATCATGTTCCCTCTAAATGCTAAGGAGCACATGTGTTAAAGGTTTTTTTTTTTTGGTTTTTGTTTTTGTTTTTTTACTATAAGCTGGGTAACAGAGTTGAGTGGATAAATTCTCAATGTGGGAAAGAAAGTAAATGCGATCTCCAAAAATGCATTCTTTATGAAAGCTGCAGAGATGGGCCTTCACACTGGATCGTGGCGTGGAAGAAAGGAAGGCTGAGCCTGTTTGCATTCCCACTTTCAGCAGGCCTGGCATAGGAAGCTTCTCTGCCATCACCAACTCAGCTCGGCTTCCTGTGGCCAAAAATCTTATTTACTAGCCCAAACTGAGATTTAGGATTTTCAGGGACTTGCCAAATGTTGGACACATTTTTTTAAAATGTTTTTGTTGTTGTTGTTGTTGTTCATTTGTTTTGTAAGATGTGTAAGTACTCTGTGGGCTGGGACTATCTCTTATTCAGGTAGAAATGGTGAAGGTTGTCCTTGAGGTAGGTTAGAGAGCGCCTCACTGGGTGAGGTCCTTAAAGCACCTCACTGGGGCGCCTGGGTGGCTCAGTTGGTTAAGCCGCTGCCTTTGGCTCAGGTCATGATCCCAGGGTCGTGGGATCAAGTCCCGCATCAGGCTCCTTGCTCAGTGCGGAGCCTGCTTCTCTCTCTGCCTCTGCCTGCTTGTGCTCTCTCTCTCTCTAATAAATAAATAAAATCTTTAAAAAAAAAAAAAAAGCACCTCACTGGTCAGGTTAGGTAAGAGGGAACTCGGCCAGTGTAACGGTCATGAAGCTTCAACAGCTGCGAACAGTCACCGAGGAGGCACTCTGCACTTATCTCACTTAACCCACCAAATCTGAGAGGCAGTCACTCCCATGTCCCGCCCCATTTTAGAATTGGGAACCAAGGATCAAGATCCTTCTGTACTTTGTCCACACGTACTGTATTCAAGCTCAGATGTGGGGCCAAGGGCTGAGCTCTGTCTCTGCTGAACATGGCTGATACAGCCAGAAAAAACTCCTAGTGGCTACTGGTGCCACAAAAGGTTGTGGGTGATGTGCGCTGAAGATCTTTAGGAGAAAGAGGGGGCGGTTCGGGGCCTGGAGAGCTAGCTAAGGCCCAAGGTTCTCAGCATTTCTCAGCCTGATGAGGTTCCTACGATTGCACAAATGCCCTGAGGAACAAATCTGAGCCAGAGGCAGGGGGCTGAGGACTGCAGCTGAGAAAAAGCAGCTGCAGGCAAGCAGAGGACACAGTGGGGAGTGGGCTCTGAAAACCTGCCGCCAATCCTCACAAACCCCAAGTCACGATCCTTTGGTAACACAGGCAAAGACGGACTACCTAGAAATCAGGACCCCCACGCAATCCCGTGTTTAAGACTTTCTACAGAAAAGAAGGTATACCTTCTGAGGCTATGTATTTTTTATTCTACTCAAAAGATAATAAATTTGCTTGATAAACTAAGACCATGTACATATATCTATGGTACATATTACAGAAGTCCCCAAATAAATATCCAAGTACTCTAATAACTACAACCTTTTTAAGGCAATGCTTATTATAGCAGTTTATAAAACCAGGGGTTACTTTAAGCATATAATCATTCAGCAGTGTTAGGAAGTCATCCTGAAATGAACTTGGGGACACAATGGAGTTGTCAAGAAATGAAAAGGAATGAAGCATTTCCCCCATCAATACATTTTTTTTTTTAAATCACAGCTTTGAGATACAGTTCACATACCATAAAATATACCCTTTTGAAAGTTTTTAGTATATTCACAGAGCAACTATCATGACTATTGAACGTGAGAACATTTCATTACCTCAAAGAGAAACTCATACCCATGAGCAGTCACTCCCTGTTTCCTCCGCCAACCCCCCGACTTCTGAAACCACTAATCTACTTTCTGTGTCTATGGGTTTGCCCATTCTGGACATTTCATATGAATGGAATCATACAACATGTAGTCTTTTGTGACTGGCTTCTTTCAATTAACATGTACTTAAGGTTCGTCCACTTTGTAGCATATGTAAGTACTTCATTCCTTCCTTATTGCTAAATATCCCACTGCATAGATATACCATATGTTGTTTATCCATTCATCACCAGCTGATGGATATTTGGGCTGCTTCTAGTTTTTGGCAATAGTGAATAATGTTGCTATGAACATTTGTGTAGAGTTCTTTGTGTGAACA